TTTGTTATTTGTAGTGGGGTGTTGGGGGGTGGGGGGTTCAAAGCTTGAGAACCACTGTTGTAAAGTGTTACCACTTTCACTATAAAGAAACGGTCTCTGATTCTGTCCAGGTGAGACCTGAAAAACTGCCTTATCAATGCTTTAGTCTCTAGTTAAATATGAATCATCTGTTAATAAGGCTTTTCCAATTAAATGTATGGTAGACCTGAAGCAGTCTGTGAGTGTAATCTCTAATTTATCATGGTCATCATGATTCATATTATTACACTATTACCAATGAATGGCATCTCTGATTATAGGACCATTTCTCTATATTTTATACATTATATATAAAATTAGTATATTGCATTTTAAACAGTTTCTCTTTTAGCCCCAGCACCATAAGTCTATATAAAAACTTTCCAATGTTTTCTTTCTTACCATTAAATGGACAGGAATGTAAAAATACTTCCTAAAATTAAATAAATACATCATAAAAATTCAGTTTTACAGTTTATGTATCTCCCATGAAAATTGAATACGATATAAATATTTACTAAGCATGCTCCCATGCTTACTTTTAGATGATTGTGAGTTTGGTGTGGTGGCAGGGACTGCAATAGTTTTCTCAGAGATATGGCCCACTTATTTATGGTACATGGAAAATGTAATCAAATTACTGATTACTCCTTTTAAAAGTAATCACGTTACTGTTCTGATTACTTTATTTCAAAAGTAATTAGTAATTAGTTACATTACTAGTTACATTACTTTTTTTCTCCATGAAATTTATGAAATCCCAGCATACACGCTCCCGATAAATATTTGTTATTAAAGCATCAACATTCACAGAACACTGTTATTTTTAACTAAAGCAAGCGGCTGCTACGCGTGCATGCTTTTGGCATGGCAGAATGCCAGCAAAGACTATCAAGGTTTTCTGGTTTAGGTTTCTCACCTGTTTAATGTTTTGATCGGAACGGAAGAGTGGTGTTTTGTCTCGCGATTATGCCGCCTCACAGTCGCCCTGCTGCGGGGGCTCTGCAACCAGAACTGAACAATGAACAAGACTCGGTAAGCTAGTCACATCCAAAGCCATATATAAGGCCCTCACATTCTTACTATCCTCAATTAAAGTTTGGATATGTGTCTCTAGTTCTGAAATATTCTCTGTCATCCTAACTATTTCCCTGCATTTATCACATGTGAATCCCTTACAGCTGACAGAGAACGCTACACTAAACATGTGGCAAGCAGTGCAAGTGACAATAACAGGAGAAGAAGCCATGACTCA